TCTTATGAAAACACAGTTTCAAGCGTACAGCAAGCCTCGTCCGTGAGGTCTCTTGACCTCCCTGCCTCTTCTTTTAAAATCACAGACCCAAAACTTTGGTTTATAAGACTTGAAAATTATTTTCTCGCTAACCGCATTCTTTTGCAAAAGGATAAGTTCGGCCTGACAAGCACACTACTCCCAGACGAAGTAGCTGACAGCGTTCGAGAGGCACTAGCAAAACCAGACACAGAAAAACCATACGATGTGCTAAAAGAGGCAGTAATTAAAACTCTCTCTCTCAGTGACCAACAAGCCGTCGAACAACTCCTTAATCAAGTACAAATTGGAGATAGAACCCCATCACAGCTAAAAAATTATATGAAAAGTCTACTTGGCGATAGATACATTGACAATAGTCTCTCTTATCAACTGTGGCTCCGCCGACTCCCGGCAAATATACAGCAGGTCCTAGCTGTGGGAGATACGGATGCTGATTTAGACAATATAGCAAAGATAGCCGATAGAATATACGAAAGAAGCAAGCAAGCAAGCCCTCCACTACACAACGTGACGGCAGACGATAGACTTGATACTCTACAGAAGGAAATAAATGTTTTATGCCGCAAACTCACAGAATTAACGCAGAGAGAAAAGCCACGAAGGTCATCGCGAGATCGCTTGCGTGAAAGGAGCCGGTCAACTTCTAGACGACGCACAACTCCCGCGATATGTTGGTATCATCAAATGTTCGGCTACAGGGCTAGAAAGTGCCTACAACCTTGTAGATTTAACAGGGCTAGTAACCGATACTCACGAGTATCAATGGCAACGGCATCAACACACATAATGCCTGAAAATAGTCGCCTCTTTTATATACAAGACCGAACCACTGGCGCACAATTCTTAGTTGACACTGGAGCGGAAATTAGCGTAGTACCTCCATTTAATGAGGAAAGAAAAAACATTAATCCGTCATTAGTGCTAAGAGCAGCAAACAAATCAGATATTAAGACATATGGTAAACGGAAATTGTCCCTAGATTTTGGACGTGGCGCTTCATACCGTTGGAACTTTGTCATAGCAGACGTATCGATGCCCATAATAGGCATAGATTTCTTATGTAACTTTGACCTTCTAGTAGACTCTAGACGACACAGATTTATAAACGGCAGTCAAACCACTTCGATAAGAGGAATACTTACAGAAGCCGTTTCAATGAACCTCGTGATAGATAAAAATCGTGGTGATCCATATAAATTGTTGTTAAGGGAGTTCCCTGAACTCGTAAAAGTAACATACAATAAAGCGGATCTCAAACATTCTATTCAGCATCACATCGTAACGAATGGTCCACCAATCAATGCAAGACCAAGAAGGTTAGATCCCAAAAGACTAGCCATCGCAAAACAGGAATTCGACAAGCTAATGAGGCTAGGCATTATAAGGCCATCGAGCAGCCCGTGGGCATCCCCGCTACATATGGCCCCGAAAAAGAATGGAGAGGTTAGGCCATGTGGAGATTACAGAGCACTGAACAAACAAACAGTAGCTGACAGATACCCTATACCGCACATTCATGATTTCACCTACAGTATAGAGGGCACTACTATCTTCTCGAAGATCGACTTAGTCAGAGCATACTACCACATCCCTGTTGCCCCACAAGACATACCGAAGACAGCAGTAACAACCCCATTTGGGCTATATGAATTCCTGCGTATGCCTTTTGGACTGACTAACGCGGCACAAACCTTTCAACGGTTTATCGACCAGGTCATTAGAGGTTTACCTGGGGTATACGCGTATATCGACGATTTATTAGTAGCTAGCACCACTAAAGATGAGCATATACAACAACTACGGCAATTATTTATGCGACTCAGAGAACATGGCATTTCTATAAATATTGAGAAGTGTGAATTCGGAAAAGAATCTTTACAGTTCCTAGGTCACAATATAACTTCTCAAGGCATCACACCAATAGCAACAGAAGTCGACGCCATCAGAAATTATCCCTTACCCGACTCATGAAAAAAGTTACGGCGATTTCTTGGGTTAATAAATTATTACAGACGATTTATCCCGAATTGTGCGTCAATATTGCAACCACTAACAGATGCATTACGCGGAAACGCACGGACATTCCAATTATCACCAGACGCGATTCAAGCATTCGAGAACGCTAAAAAAGCACTAAATAAAGAAGTGACACTAACTAGACGAAAGAGCGAAACACCGTTAGCTATCATGACGGATGCATCAGACGTAGCGGTAGGAGCCGTTTTACAACAATTAGTAAATGGCATATGGGAACCGCTCTCATTTTTTTCGAAAAGACTGAATCCGACACAAACAAGATATAGTACTTTCGGAAGAGAACTCCTAGCGATTTACTGGGCAATAAAACATTTCCGACATATGATTGAGGGTACCATTTTCACAGTATATACAGACCATAAACCCCTCACAAAAGCATTGAACGCCAAACAGGACAACTACTCGCCGAGGGAAATCCGACAATTAGAATTTATTTCCCAATTCACGTCTAACATACAGTATATCAAAGGCAATAGTAACGAAGTGGCAGACGCGTTATCCAAAACGATGGTCAACGCTCTCATCCAGTCCGAAATGGATTATCACAAGTTAGCAGCATTACAAAATATCGACGTCGAGTTAAACAGACTAAAGTCTGCCAACACAACCTCGTTAGTTCTCAAAGAAACTCCATTGGAAGAAGTAAGCATCACGTGCGATATTTCTACAGGTCAACCAAGACCATTTATTCCAAAGCCGCTAAGGCGAAACATTTTCTAAGCCATGCACAATATTTCGCATCCCGGAATAAAGGCCACCATCAAACTAATCAGCGAACGTTTTGTATGGCCAAGTATGAATCGGGATATTCGTAATTGGACGCAAGCGTGTATAAAATGCCAGAGAGTTAAGATACATCGCCACACCAGTTCCGCAGTAGGTCATTTCCGTCATCCCGATAACAGATTCGAGCACGTACATATCGATATCATAGGACCACTGCCGGTTTCGAATGGCTTCAGTTACATTTTCACTTTCATTGATAGATTCACACGATGGCCTGTAGCTGTGCCTATAAAAGATATTACAGCCGAAACTATCGCAAAAACCTTAGTAGAGCATTGGATTTCCCATTATGGTGTACCTACTAATATTACAACCGATAGAGGAGCTCAATTCGAGAGCCGCCTCTTCCAACAACTCACAGAACTACTCGGAATCAAACGAATTCGCACAACATCCTACCATCCGATGTCGAATGGTATGGTAGAGAGATTGCATCGGCAACTTAAAGCTTCTCTTACAGCTGTCATCAGCAATAATGATTGGGCCAGCAAGCTACCGTTAGTCATGTTGAGCTTAAGATCAACAATCAAACAAGATATAGAATGCTGCCCAGCAGAATTGGTTTATGGAACCACACTACGTCTGCCAGGAGAGTTTTTCACTGCAGGTAAAAGCGTCCCAACTGATATAGCGGACTATGTACAGCGTCTTAAGCAGCATATGAGTAGTCTAAGGATAACGCTTCCGAGACAACATCAACGCCGTGTGTACATACCCAAACAACTAAGTGACAGTACCCATGTGTTTATCAGAAGGGATAATGTGCAACGTCCCTTACAACCGGCCTACGATGGTCCATTTAAGGTGATTAAAAGAGACGACAAAACTATTACGGTAGAAAAAGCTGGAAAAACGGATGTAATTAGCATCGACCGAGTCAAACCAGCTTTCATCGAAGCCTACGATCAGCCAGTACATACAGATACTGCGAAAACCGTTGAATCATCGAAACGTCAGTTCCAATCATCAACGACATCGACGAACACAAACAAAGAGAATCCAGCAACGACAAGGTCTGGTCGAAGAGTAAGATGGCCCCAACATTATGTCGCTGCAATCTTCTATTAATAGTCTTCTACTATTTTAAATATTAGTTATAACTTCCAATTCATTGTATACACATGCATTACTAATTTCATGTTATACGCTATAAAACTCAACATATCTTATGTACCCCTACACTTACACGTATAATTTTTATTTAAAATGTAAAGCAATACCGCATTCCTTCTATTTATTGCTATTATTTTATATAACCTCACGGACGGGCACAAACCAAATGTACAGCACAAACTAACTTCATCTTAATTTCGTACAAACCATTTTGTTTCAAACGACTGTAACTACCCTACTAAGTTTGCTATTTTTTTTGTGCAAACACAGACATTTTTCCATATATCTTTGTTTCCAGGGGGGAGCTATTATAGTGACTCACGTGCAATTGAGTTTAGTTCAGTCAAGGTCTTTTGTTGACCTATTTAATGGACAAAGTCATCCATGATATAACAACTTGTTGTACTATCTTTATTATTATGCTTGTATGAAATACATATGCTTGAACATTGTTTAGCGCCTACGCATGTATTCATTCTGCTAGCTTCATTATTAACTGCTTAATCTATTCGCTGACTCATCCATTTTCCTATACATATATATATGTGTACATTTGCACCCAGTCACAACAACTACAACTACTACTGCTACCGCTACAATTGTAGTTCGCTTGCTCATTCATTTTGCCTCTCTGTTGTCTGATCCGAATTATCTACTAAATAAACTGTAGTAGCTGCTTCTTTTTGCCTTCTGATTTCAAACATCGTTGAAGATTGTACGACAACGGTTCGAGAGTGATTAATTATCGAAGCACAGCCACTACAATATAATCAACTATTATCAATCCTTGTTTATGTGTTTACGAATATGTCGCTTTTTCTACTCAAACATACCGTAAACTCCAACTTACAACTTCTCTACTTCATATTCAACAAACCAGATCAATCACGATAAAGTAGAATTTTGTCCAAATGGATGACTTTGTTAACTTTCTTCTCAATACAACTAACGTTGAGATTGATGGAATGAACGAACACCATGTAACAGTCAAGACATTTGCAATTCACAGTATATTCGATTTCTTTCAAACAATTTAATAACATAATCAACAGCATACTACTATATTACATCCACACTCCCAATCACTATCTACACAAAATCAATGGAATAGTACAAACTACAAATCGGATGATTTACACAAAATCCCTTTCCCACTTGATGACAACACAAACTCACAATGATTGGTTCATCTAAAACTCAATATTTCAAATCCGATTCTGCTTAATCACGTACAATAAATAGAAATGAAGACAAGTGAACAAACACAGAAATTCTCATATTCATCATTCTTGTTTTACTGCATCATCAAAAGTATACAATTACAAAAGGAAACATCATACAAACTGTCAATATCTAGGATAACTTAATGTTGAGAAACAGTAAAATAAATCCAGAATATGAGAAAGTCAGTAAGAACAAATGAACCATTGATGCAAATATGAAATCTTCAGGTCTGTAGTATATTGCTCTTCCTCCACAAAATATTTGAGCTTCAATTAAACTAGCCTAAAATCACAATAACAATGTACAAATTGAAATTCACAACATTCAATGCTGATTAGTTGTTTATCTAATATCAAATGATTCTCAATTATAATTCACTAACTGACTGACTTATTTGCAAGTGAAATAATATCATGACATAATTTGATGAGTGTTTAAGAGATGATGTTCTCAGTATCTGAATATCTCTTCCTACACTTCCTACAGTAGTATTTGTCAATTCACCTCATTTACAACAGATTTGTTGAAGAAGTGCAATATTAGTTAGTATGTTACTTAACCATAAAACGGAAATAGCAGGTTTCTAAATTCCTGAGTCTACCTAACGAATACGCAACAGTCAATGATTACTTCCACTATCTGAACATCTACATCTACAAACGTTTGTTGAAATTTCCTATAGAAATAATTGTGGCACATTGTTCAGTGAAACAGATTCACAGTGTATATTGACACAGAACACATTGTTGTGTGGATAGCTCACTGAAGTGATATGATTTAATCTTAACCTATTCGATGCATGGATTTGTATTGAAGGAGGATGGTGAATAGACAATAATCTCATTTCATTCAAACTACTATTCACTCACCGGAATTACGATGGCTAAAACGAGGAGACCGATTGCCCACGTCACCTGAAATGCAAAGTTAAATAATTTACTAGTGGGAAAATCATCTGTGAGTTTCCTTCAAGCCACCACTCAATCACATGTGACATCAAGTTAATTTTTGTAACACTTATGTATTACTGATAGAGATGAGAACAAAATTGAAAATGTGAGTGATCACAAATGAAAAATCTGAATGAAAAGTGAGACTGAGCGCAGTGCTATATGGTAACCAATATGAACGCGAGATTCAACAAAACTGTTTCCATATTTGAGTTAGTTTCAACGTTCTTTTCACAGGATTAATTAATGAATCTGCCTTTGATGACCCTTTATTCCAACATTGATGTCATATAGACATGAACTAACAATGTTGAATATGGTGTTCTCTTTGAAGACTGCTAGAATTTAATTCATAATTAATAATAATTATCAATGGTGAATTACGATCTGAACACCTGTACTCTCTTTAATACAGGTTTACCAGAATTCAAACAAATATGCAGTTTCTCGGTGAACCACTGTTATTTTAACCCTGATGGATGAAACTCATTTGTTCATTGACATTAACCAGTGAATGAAATTTTGAAAATCTGACTTCCATATTAACTCTGACAATCGTTCATACACATTGAATTTACTAAACAATTTATCAATGTTATTCTGTTACTCTATTGCGAAGAAGCGTGTTACCCACGTATAGATTTACCTGTGAATAAACAATATTGAAATAAATGCTCCTATCTACTATCTTGAATTCAATAATCTCATTGTCACATTTATATTGAATAAACACTACAATTCAAATATTATCTAAACATAACTGATACACAAGAAATCCTACGCACTGTATCATATGCAAATGAATGACGATCAACTTCAGTAATTGATCAGACCAAATAAAATGGGATCTCACCATTGGGGGAACAGTAATTAGATTAATTGTAGCTACACTGATGATTACATAGTGGATCCTGTATAAGAGTAAACATGTTTATTTGCGGTGTGCATTGACAGCTTATTGAATAATACTGGTGGATATGCAACACTCTATTAGAATATCCCATAAAATCAACAATTGTCATACAATCTACTAAAATATAAGCTAATTCAAACTCACCGCATTAATTTTTAAAGCCCATAAGATCACCAGTATCATAATGATAATAAGGATAAAAACGATATACGTCAAAAACAACCAAAAGTATCTGACCAAATCACGTTTAATGTTTATTCCAATCATAAACAATAACACTGATAGAATGATGGCCAAAATCCAACTGATAAATATGAACATTCCCTTTGCATAAATTGAAAGATAGGTTATCACACCAGCGAAGCTGAAGCTCTTGAAATAAAAGGAGAAACAGAGGATTGTTCAAAGGGCATATATTTTCCATAGAACTATATATACGAATGTACAGCTTGAGTAAATGATTTTGTCGAAGAGAAAATTCTCTTCTCCGAATTCTCTCTTTCTTACTCAATGACACAATGGATTATTTTAATTAACTTTTATACCAGCGAAACCAATTATTAAATTTTGTCTTTATTTGACAGAACATTTGTGCCAAATTACCTTGAAAGGGGAGAAATACCTTTATGTAATAATTAATTAGATGGTAGAAGATAATGCAAATGGTTAGGCAATGAGTGATTGCATGTAAATTATATATTAACGGAATTACTCGATAAAACACATGGAATCTCTACTGAATAAACTTCATAGTACATGCAGATAATCGCTGGACATTCATTCAAAACATCTCGAGAAATCATCACAATTCTGGATCGACATCTTTCTTATGTAACCATGATCAGTGACGACTCTATCAAATAGTTCGGATGTTGGAGTGAAACGTTTATAGTTGATAAAGCATTCATAAATTTTGGTCGTGTGAACAAGTTGCTGTCAGTCTCTAAACACACATTTCACAATTAAAAACAATGTTCTCGACTCATGTATACAGAAGATTTTTCCGTATCCACCTCGTCAGTCATGGTCTTGAGAGTGAATCAGTGAACAGATAACACACAACTCACATAGGACGTTTGATGAATTGGTGATCAAATATAATACATGCTTGTACATATCTAGCAACATCAACAACTCATTTTGCACATTCACAGGATAGTCTCATTTACATAACGACTAACATAATGATGTGACATCGTATTGATATTCAGTGATATAAAATCAAGTTCATATTGCTTTTGGCAAACGTTGATATATATTCATCCATCTCTATCAAATACAACTTACAAGTAGTACGTAAAGGAAATCCGTGAGGTAATTCAAGTGTGTAAATCTCTGAATAAAGAAAATTGCAATGGTTGCACCAATCGAGATGAAACTGTAATGTAAATTATAAAGTGTCAAAATCAATTCAATAACATAACTATTTGCAATTCGGAAAATGTAGTTGAAAAATATCACAAAAGGTGACATGAGCCAAATTGTATAAATTTTGATGAAATGTACACGTAGTTGAACAGCTCAATCATTTACATTGAAAGATATACTATTATGTAAAACTTTATTTTGTTTGATATTTTCTACATAGAGCCATCTGCAAGCGCATGAAAAATGAGTGAAACTGCAATTTCTTCAATATTATTCATACTAGATTATTATGTTTTATGTAAACGAAAGAATAATTATAAATTTGTCATTTAACTCAACTCATTTCAACATAATGACTCCACCTGGCGCACAACATTTGTGTGTACTCTATACCTGTGTAAAATATGCAGTACTAGCTTATCAAATGCCCGTGTTTGACTGAAAGTTGGAAGAACCAGCTCTCACTGTCGAAATGCTCTCATATGACCACACGTATGTAGCCACTGCCAGAGAAATCCAACCCATTACTTTCTCGAGGCTTGTATGTTGTTTACGAAATTGAGAGGACAGAAAGAGAATGTTATGCGCTTTAACAGGGTTGGTGGATATGGAGTGTCGACCTAAGAGAGTTAGAAATTCCTGATTCCAATACTAGCCTACTAAACGCATTTCGAATATATGATGATCTATTGACGTTTATTACACTTACCTTAAAATATGAAGAATCCATTCATGTTTGTTTAGATATTCAGTGGAATCATCTCTAAAACATGATTAACAAACATCTAAATTATTAGTAAGTGACATACATTGCTAACGCTAATGCAGTCATCAACATTGATAGAAACACTTGAAGGATATTGGTTAAAAACACCTACATTCTGAAATGAATATTTTCAACTGATTTCTACTTTCAATATTAATCGAGTGCGTACTGGATCAACCATTCCAGATAACGTGGAATCGTCACAGATTACCACTTGATTATTATATTTGATTCCATTATTGTATGTATGTGATCCTGATAAGAGAGGATGAGATATGGGATTACTACTAAGCAATTGATTATATAAAGCAATCTGACTTGACTGTCTCTGTTATGACTAGTGAATATTGTGAACAAAAGTGTTAATGAAACATTAATCATGTTTGAGCAATGCAGAAACAATTAACGTGGCAGAGATAAAATGAATCTACTATAGTTCGGTGTTTCTCAACAGTTTCCTCAAACCTCAGCACCACAATATTAATCAATAAAAATCCGTCTACATATTTTATATTGGAAGAGTTCTCCTCAATGGGAATTAATGAAAAGGTTGAGAAGTATGAGCGAACGATGCATTTGATATATTTATACATGAAATCAATTGAACATTTATAGGTTGAATATCTGAACATTCTAAGAGTTTATTCAACAGAATCATTTCGAAATAGGAGAATAGTCGACTCAATAAGTCACATTTATGATTGTATATCGGGTAGCAATAAATAGTATATCAAATTGTGTTATGTAACTCAATATTCACGATTATTTCCGTTTCACATTGCGATCTCCTACCAAACAACTAAAACCAATGGCTAGGGTATAATAAATGCTCGACCTTCGAGCGACATTAAAGTGTCCTTTCGATCAATTATCGAAATGTGATTATATCATTCAATGAGTTTAACTTGATTATTCCCAACAATGTTAATCAAAAATCTATTAATGTAAATACAAACCTTCATTCGGATGTTTGTGCAACATTAGTTGTGTACACAAGCAGTGCACGTTAAAGCTGATCAACTCAATCAACGTTATTTTATAATCTCAATGCAAATGAAAACGATCAGTGACCAATAAATACAGTATAAAAAACAATACGACTTTTGATCTGATCAAAGTTCAAATTAGGTAGTGCATACTAGCCTGATCCACTTAACAATTATATAGTTCAATAAATGAGACAGTGATTATCGATATGAGAGAACATCCAATTAACATTCTACACGATATAAATTGGTTAGATGTTGAATATCAAACAGATTACGATTGATGTACTGAGAGTGATTTGGTTATACATCTCAGTTGCGAATGTTCAACTTGAAATACACACAGTTATCCACACATGAGTGCTAACTGAACAGACCCGTTCTGTATGATCTTCAAGTTACTGAATATATTAATCGTGTTATTTATCAGCAGATTCAAAAGAATATCATCATCCGATGAAGTTACGTATAGACGTAATCAATAATTAACATGCTAACAATAATACTACACACTATTTATGCCACTTGACCTATACTTCAAGAATTCAAAGTCAATTTTCTAGATAGAAAGATCATCGGCTTCTCTATTGATCATTTCAATATTATTGATTGTTTATGGTTGTGAAGCATTTCAAGTTAACACATGTGGTGAGACTATAATTTATAGATGAACCAATGAGATTTAGGATAACACGTGTTGTATTTTGACGCGAAGTTCATTCATCCATTTGCAAAATGGAGTTCTTGCATTTTGGTGATGTCAGTTCGTGATGAAGACCCAAATCCAGTTCCTAATCTTAACGATCAACTGTAAATCGAAATTCTAATACCTCACACTGGTTTATAGAACACATCTCTCACTAGTCAATAGTTGAACATTCGCAAGGTCACTTCAGCATCACTCGATGTTCGTCCATAAATAAAATCTCACCACATAAACTCCACTTTAATTTTCTGGTTATGTTAACTGAAGTGTTTTTTTTATACAATTAAATATGCAAAGTTTTTTCTCAAAGCAATGATTCATCATTATAATTATTCCTACTCTAACTTGTTTACATAATGAATATTTATGTGCTTGGCTCTGTTGCATGACTTTTGAGTGAGTTCTAGTGAGATCAGCCTGTTACTCCAAGTGAACTGGGTAAAATGTGATTTGAATTTGAGATCGAATGTTTGAAATCTAGATGTTGATCAACAAGCAAACTGCTCTATAATGTTCGTGAAACCGTATGACATTTAAATATAGTCGACGAAATGCCCTGTTTAATGTAGGTCTTGTGTTAGTTCGAACTTGTTAACTAGACGTACTTAGAATATTGCGAGTATCGATGCGACCCATGAGATTTAAAACCACATCACCGTGCCAACTGACGTGAAATCTAAGTTCAAAATTTTCTCTGATCATCTTCTATTAATTAGCACACCAACACAGTGCACGAAATGTCTAGTGGTTTAGACTGTTGCCCAAATTGTAACGTGATATACAGAATTTAATCAGTACTATAAAATGACTAGACAAATGTGGTATTGGCCACCATAGAATAGTTAACCAACTAAAATCATCAAAGTTGAGTATAACAACAGTAGTAGTAAAATGTTTAGTTGATTTCAATCTTAGTTTTTCAATCAATGAAGTTGGACATTCAAATGACAATGAAAAATTCTAATTTTATCTGTCAAACTTGAATAAAATAAAAATATATAAGAAGGTTCATTCATAGTTACGTAAGTAGGTGTTGTCAAATACATTGAATTTTTAATTAATGTTTGGCAAGACGTTTCATAACTAATGAGTCACTATGTTGTTTATTCTTATGCTTATCGACACTATATATATGCCATGAATTATACATGATTATATCAAAAATCTTAAACATCAAATGATCCTTAATTCACTTGGTATTGTTCGGTTTGTATCTTCCCATTGAGTTTTTTAAGACTGCAATTGATCAGTCTGTTATTGGCATATGTGCATACTGTGCGTATGGCTCGATATCACCTTAATTCACAAGCTATTTGTAAGCAATGATGGATAGTGGCTAGCAGTGGAATCCAGTTTGACGCGCGTCTCGTCCTACTTGGGACTCAGTATGAGAATGTTGATTAAATGATTGGCAATCTTGGGGAACTTAAAAGTCACATAAAATGTTAAAAAAACAACTTAAGTTCCATTAGATTTTCATCTATTACTTCTTGACATAATGAGTGTTTGTGTTGAAAAGCAAATGAAGGAAATAAGAACTACATAGTTGTTTCAATATTGATAATGGTCGGTAATATAGATTAGTTTTACTCATTCCATTATTCTTCATTTAGGGATCATACAAACAGCAATTAGAGACTTTGTAAATTTATATAAAGGAATATGTATCTTTTCATTGTCACTGAATCGACATTCGAATAGGGATCTAAATTGAAGAACAACAGGAGAATATTCATACGTTGGCTAAGTTTTTCTTCTAAATAGTGTGGACGTCATTAAAGAATCACAAATTTCTTTAAGTACTGCAATGTATCACTTTCTTTTATTATAAATAACTCTATAGATCTGTAAGGATTAGGAAACAGTTAACAGATCAGGAGGAGATAATAAAATCACATCCTAAGTACAAACGTGTGTAAGAATTGAACGTTAATTTATTTAGAACTTCGATAATGTTAAAATTGAGAATAATTAATGTTGAGAGATATGAAACTTTATCACATTTATATATAACACGTTTGTATTATGCGACTAAAGTATACGTAAACTCGTTTAGTAATATATAGTATAGATCATTTTATATTGAACTTCACACAACTTATCTAGTAATCACTAGTCAACAGGTCAATAAATCTGTGAACTATTCAACTGGAGAGATGGATAAGTGACTTTGTATAGGTACATGGATTTGGCTTTAGATAAAATACATAATCACTCTCTACAGCTGTCTCTTTCACCCTACAAGCGATAACTATAAACATATATGACACAAATTACGATCATGATTTTTCTGATCAACATTTTTTCGATGGGTTGAGATTGCCAACCTCGTGTCTAACCTTCTGCCTTCACTCGAACTGTGAACCAACAGTGATCGTAAAATGGCTTCACGAATAGTAAAACTAGTATCATAATACTATTCAATTAAGTACTCAATTAAGTAATATGTATATTCAGTTAGTTATTCATAACAAATCAGAAAAACACTAGTTTAATCAAAATAACACTTTATTTAATTCTATTTCAAAATGAAATAATAATGAACAGACTGTTTGGTATTTATATGAATGTAAATGTGATATATTAATAGTATAATGTCTTGGCATTAATTAATCATCACTGATTAATAAGAATCATTGTTTTCATATTGTTTTTGATAGATGTTCAATAAGATCTGAGATAGTGTCTTTTTTTTCAATTCTCTATTAAAATACTTTTAATGAAGAAGAAATCTCAGCCAATACATTTGATGTAAATCCAACATTTTCGCTGAACAATCTGATCCCAACATTTTCAAAGAAATACACTGCATGTTGAAAATAAAATGGTCACTTTGATTAAAACATCTTGAAAGTGTATTATCATGTTGAAAAAAAAGTAAGAATTTTCCCTGTTATTATTTTATTTTTCATTCATAGTTGAATTGAACAAATGATTAGATATCATAGAAACATTTTTATAGTGATCGTAATTACTTTTCCTTATTATTGTGTTTTTTTTGGTATTTCTCATAATACCATTTAGTTGCTAAGGGGGAAAACGTATTATCATTATCATTGTACATTTGAATTTGTAATTTTCATAAAATGTTTTAATTGTTTCAATGTATTCTCTGATTCCATTTGATGTTGTATAAATGTAGTTAAAAAATTATATTCTATAATTGATTTTATATCTCTTTGTTTATTATCATGATGAATATTATGCAACCAATTGATTATCATAAATTGATTAAGATCAATACGTTGATGTATATCGATTTGTAATAACATATTAATGATGCGATATATTGATTTATCAATATTATATAATAATAATGAATGATTTAATTGTATAGAATTTGTTTTGATATCATTCATAAATGTATTCAATTCTTTATATTGATCAATAAATGGTAATTTCCCAGTCAATAATAAATACATAATAACACCAATAGACCATGTATCTAATTCCATTGATTTTTTCTTCCATAATTCTTTCATAATATAACATATATTGTCTTTTTGAATTATATTTATATCATCCATGGTTACTTTAACATGTATCATATATTCTGGTGACCAATATATAAATAATTTTGTATCATTATGATTACATAATATATTGATTTCTGTTAATACACTAAAATCTAATACTAAGGATAATGATTTCGGATGAAATGTTTTAAAGAATATATTGTATGGTTTAATGTTACCATGGTAAATATGGTTACTATGTAAATAATTGACAGCTTTACATAAATATTTTATAATATAATATATATCTTCAATAGTGAATGTGAATCTTTGTTGAAACCATTCAAATAAATTACCGAATGGATAATAATTTGTTAATATAGTGAAATGATTATAATCTATGTCAATTTCATATGGTATAATAAGATGATTATGATTATTATTATTATTCAATAATAATAATTTAGATTCATGAAAACGTTGTAATAATTTGCAATGAAATATATTTCGAAAAATCCTCCTCCATAATTTTGTTATTGGCCATTGATTTAAATTAAATTGTTTACATATAATTTGTTTATTGAATGGTAGAATAATACCATAACGATATGAATTAAATTCATTTAATTGTATAGAACTAAAGGCAATTTTCAATGTCATTTTTTCCATTCTTTTTTCTGGTTACTATGCAGAATGTTTGTTGATAAGGTATGAAATGAATAAAGAAGTGAAAAGATTTTTTTTTAACTTTTATATCCATTATGAAGTTATATAACTCATATATATATACACACATTATAATGAGTTGTGATTAGTTCAATGTGACTTGAATTATTTTTAAAATAAACATTCCTGTATGACACATCAAATGACCTACTTAGTAATAATTTTTGTGAATATAGCGTGATAATAAATCTTTACTATTTTGTAATGTATATCAATGCATGAGTACCTTGTATATAGTGTGGATAGGTCTCTTCAAATCAACAAAAGCGGAAACGTCTATATCAATATATTGTTAGTAATACATTATATTTTTAATCAAATGACAATTGTATGATTATATCATGAGAGAGAGTTATATACAAATCTATTCATTACTGCAACATTTAATTGTGTTAATTATCCAACACTAATATACAACTAATTGATTACTAAATAAAACTGTATTTTTGTTTTTCTTTATAAATAAATTTGTATTACTAGATTAGGGAGCTAATTAGTTTGAGTAATAAACAAATACAAACAATTAGAGTTTTGATCAAAATCTAAGGAGAATAAATAACACAATAAAAATTAATAATGTTATGTTGGATGCCGGTTCAGTGGTTTAGTTGATTAAGCGCTTGGCGCGAGACTGATAGTTCCCGGGTTCGAATCTCACGGGGTGCGGGATCGTGGATGCACACTGGTGAGGAGTCACATACTAGGACGAAACGGCTTTCCAGTGCTTCCAGGTTTTTCATGGTGGTCTAGCTTCAGTTGACTCATGATTTCAATCAGTGAAATGTTATGATAGACAATAAAATATTTCGTAGTTTACATCATAAAATAGTTTTAGTTAGATAATGAATAAAAAACAAACAACGTAATAGATAGTCGTTTCATTCTATGATAGGACTTCTAAACAGTGATTATCCATCTGAGGTAATAGATTTAGACAATGGAAAGACATCATACTAGAACTAAACAACTGTCCATCACTACACACAGTTTTTCGTCGTTATCTAACATCAAAATGTATCAAATTTTATGTTTTCATATCAATTTCTTTGCAACAAATCAATATATGTAGTGTCGATAAGTATGAGAATAAACAACATAGTTACTCATTAGTTATTAAATATCTTGCCAAACATTAATTAAAAATTCAATGTATTTGATAACATCTACTTATGTAACTGTGAATGAACCTGGTTATATATTTATAGTCTATCCAAACTTTCCAAGTAAAAATTGAAATTGTTGATTGCCAGTTCAAAATCCAACTGCATTGATTGGAAAACTAGGATTGATAGAATTTTCCAATAATTCGTTATAAGTATTAAATAAACATTTTAATCGTTTAAAGATCCCCGTCATATTAAAAGACTAGTATTTGAACGAAGAATATTCTTTTCGATAAATTCTCTTCACGTTCTACAATTATATATCCAAATTAGTAATCCGAAAAATGCCCAAGGTAAAGGCAAAGTACATCGTTTAGAGCATGTGAATTTAGGATTGTGGTAAACAAAATACAATAAAATTGTTAATTATCAGTATGGAGGTTGTGGAGATTGTTAAGTTTTTGGTTGAGATCATGAATTAATTGATGTTAGACCACCGTTGAAAACCTGGAAGCACTGGACGGCCGTTTCGTCCTAGTATGGGACTCCTCAGCAGTGCGCATCCACGGGGTGCGGGATCAACCAAAACAAATTGTTAATGTTAATACGACTCATATAGAATGTTCACTTGAATCAGCTTATATGTTAAGTAAAATTTTAAGATCCATGATCAGAATAAATATGGGTCAAATAAGGTGAGAGAGAAATAATAGTGCAATTATAATTCGATCAAATAAGTAAGACGTAATACGGAGGGATGAATGCGAAGTGAATGAATCATGTATAGGGGGATTAATGATGTTTAACCAATAATAATAATAATAATAATAATAATAATAATAATAATAATAATAATATTAATACAAAGATTTATGAATAAAGATAACAGGGACAATTACAATTGACTACGAAAGGTCATAGTCAAATTAGTTCATTCAGTACTTAAGATTACGATTGATTAATTGGCCTTGATGTTGGCCAGGGGAGGAGAAGTGTTTGAATATATTTCTTCTGCACGCAAAGCTCCGGTTTCTTCATCCGGATGGCTATTGCTTCAGCCGTTTGAAGGACTTTCAGTCTGACCAATTTTGGCAAAAAATTACTTACCTTATAAATAATTGAAAAAGATTGGTTTATACTGGCACTTTGACCGGTTTGTACTAAATGGGCCAATATTGAGCTGTTCACCTTCTTCATCAAACCTTTATTTAGCCACGCTGGAAGGTGTTCAGGAGCACGAAAATGTAAATTCCTAGAACTTCGACCAATATAACTCGCTCCACAGGAGCAGTTGAACTGATAAATACAAAATGAGGTCGAACAAGAGCTTACCACCTTGCATAATACTCTCAGGGAGAACGGCTACCCTAGAAAGTTTATAATTAAATATATGGTCACTAAGGCGAAAGTAGGCGAAATACAAACAGTGAAGAAGAAATCCCTGTTCATGCGCCTACAAGTCAGAGGGGATGCAGCTAGCGAAATACTAACGCAGAGATTACGTAGGACAATACAAAAGTCTTTTAACGCCGGAGAACTACGGTTAGTATTTTCAACGTGCCCAATGGTTACACCGAAGCTAAAAGATGAATTACCTACAATAAACACCTCATAATATATTATTACCACTGTTGTTATGCTCAACTTTGTCGATTGTAGTTTACCAACCACTCAGTGGTGGTCAGTGCCACATTTCTCTAATTCTTATACAAGATTTAGTTATCACTCATTAATATCAAAACTTTACAAATTGTGATGGTTGAAATAGATATGAAGTATAAATTACGACATCACACTAAAGAACTACGGAGAGAATGTAACCGATAATTGATTAGCTCAATTTGAATGTATTAAGAGACGAACTCCTTCAAGTGTATACATAGTAAATCGTGTAAATAATAACATTTTAGCTAATACAACTAGATAATTAAAGTGAGGTCAGAGTGTGAAGACATTTGAGTGACGCTGAAGTGATTTTGCAAATGTTCACCTACTGACAAGTGCGAGATGTGTGTTATAAACTAGTTAAAATGGTTGTTCGATGAATTCAACATGCAAACCTGTACCTAGGTATCGTTCTAATTGACACTCGTCAGCAAAGTGTAAATGTAATCTTGAGAAAACTGATGTTCCCTGACGGATTCCATCCCGTGTCATCCAGCTTCACATTTAGGAGCGTTACCAATTAGCTACATGAGCCTCAACTAACTGCGACGATGACTCATCTATACTGGTGTAAACATTGCAGCTTGATCGATTGGATCCGATCTGCACTGAGAAGGATCTGATATACATGAAATTGATCACTACTCAGTGATTATTCAATTGTTATAAACCAGTGTGAGGAATGAGAATTTCGATTTACAGTTGATGGTTCAACTTACGAATTAGATTTAGAATTTTCATCACGAACAGACATCAGCAAAATGTAAGAACTCCATTTTGACAAATGGATGAACGAGGTACGCGTCAAAATACAACACGTGTTATCCTAAATCTCATTGGTTCATTTATAAATTATAGTCTCACCACATGTGTTAACTTGAAATGCTTCACAACCATAAATAATTAATAATGCTGAAATGAACAATAGAGAAGCCGATCATCTTTCTATCTAGTAAATTGACTTTGAATTCTTAGACCTCAGGTTAAGTGGCATAAATACTGAACAGTATTACAGTTAGCATGTCACTTGTTGATTACGTTTTGTTATGAAACAAACAAACGAATAAAAAAAATTATTGAACATTTTGCTTATAATTAATTAATTATTTAATGAAATCTTCACGAATTTCAGATCAATAAAAGCAGTGCAGAATAAGGAATTGATAAATCGTTTGTTGTCGTTTCAGTGGGTAACACGTTGTGGTACTGTGAACACGTATCTGATGAGTCACAAATTGGACGGAATTGGTTTCGTAGATTCCACTGGCAGACACCAAACAACTATACTAAAATTGTCTTGTTATCTAATATCACTATTCGGACAATCATTTCAGGGTACAAATATGCCATTAGGGACTGATCAATCAGATTCGTTATGACGAAGTACGGGTAGGTTCAAACAATTATGTGTCAACGTCTGGTAAACGCAGCTTCAGTTGTACAAGCTAGTGGATATCTGGATCATCTTTCTATCTAGAAAATTGACTGAATTCTTAAACTACAGGTCAACTGGCATAAATATTGTGTAGTATTCTTGTTATCGTGATAACTATTGACTAAGTTCATATGTAACTTCGTCGGACTATGGTTAAGAACATGCAATTATTACTGGTGGCATCCGGACCATATTTAACATCTAACCAATTTATATCGTGTAGAATGTTAATTGGATGTTCTCTCATATCGATAATCACTGTCTCACTTATTGAACTATATAATTGTTAAGTGGATCAGGCTAGTATGCACTACCTGATTTGAACTATGATCAGATCAAAAGTCGCATTGTTGTTCATACTGTATTTAATGGTCACTGATCGTTTTCATTTGCATCAACACTGTAAAACAACGTTGATTGAGTTGATCAGCTTTAACGTGCACTGCTTGTGAACACAACTGATGTTGCACAAATATCCAAATGAAGGTTTGTATTTACATTGATAGATTTTTGATTAACATTGTTTTGAATAATCGAGTTAAACTAATTGAATGATGTAATCACATCTCGATAATTTGATTTGTATGATGAATGACTTGACTGAACAGAGAAAGGATACTTATATTTGGAAACATGAAACAACATTAGTGATACAAGGCATTTGAATATCACTATTGTTGTCAGTTGAATTTTGATTTGGGATATAATTTATGAAACTAGTGAACATACGGAAGAAACAATGATGGATTAAACAAGATTCGCTTATTTGACTTGTATATTCGTGGAATATCTATTCATTGAATGTATTGATGA